GGATCAGAATACATCCAGACTGCATCTGATATTGTGTCTGTTGTTGGAAACAGTTTTGGTATGAGTGAAGCAGATGTAGGTATCCAAGGGACTATAGTTGGGAACTATGCAGAATTTCTTGTTTCAGCTGGTCTCAATCCTGCTATTGTTCCGGTTGATATTAAACAGAGTCAGGTCTATTAGTTAAACAATAACTTTAGCCTACATGGGGATCTTGTTGTGGATCTGGGACTGCTTGTTCCTACTATTGGACCTCCAGATGGGATTCTTGGGTCTGCTTCAGTAGGAAAATCCAAGAAGAAGAATATGCTTAATGAGATTTACAAATGCATCAAGATCCCATACACCCCATCTTATTACATAAACCTCCTGCTCACGACTTCAAAAGGTTATGCAGCAACATCGAAGAAGTTTTCAGATAGGAAGGGAAGGAATAAGTCAATGCGGATTAATAAAACTCGTCAGTATTATTCTGAACTCCTAGGTGGTGAATCTATTACTGATACGGATGTGGAAAGAGGAAATTTGTGTTGTAAAAGGGAAATTGACGATGTACCAACCAATTTGAGAAAATACCTGATGGATTTAGGGATTCAGGGTGATGAGGACAATGGGCTGGGAAATACTCTTAGGAAAATGGATAGTGAGGATAATGTTGTTAGATTAGGCAAGAAGGTTGTAGCTACCAGTGGATTATGAATATAGTGACCTGCAATGTTCGAGGATGATGCAGTTCGTTGAAGAGAAGGAGAATCTCTCAAACTCTACAGAGAGGCAATGCTGACATTTTCCTTATTCAGGAATCTAAAGTAATGCATATGGAGAATGGGTTAGCTCATAGCATTTGGAGGAATTCTGATGTGGATTGGTCAACCCTAACTCTAATGGCAGATCTGGCGGAATTATTACTTTGTGGAATAGGTCGAAAGTTACAGCCTTATTTAGCTTTTGTGGTGCTGGTTACTTGGGCATTCAATTCCTGTGGAAGAATCAAAACCTTATCGTGGTCAATGTTTACGCTCCGTGTGGTTCCGCTGACAGAAGGAAGTTATGGAGGGAGCTCGCTAAAGTTAAAAGTAATATATCAGGGACCGGCTGGATCGTGGCGGGAGACTTTAACGAGGTAAAGATTGAAGAGGAACGAAAAGGTATAAATGCTAACAGCATGAAGGATATGGAGGTTTTTAGCAAGTTTATCGCTGAGATAAAATTGACAGATCTTCCGGTGATTGATAACAAGTTTACTTGGTTCAATTCCAATGGCAAATGCAGAATTAGATTGGACAGGTTTTTGGTGGATGATATCGCAATATCAATGTTATCTCTGATAAATCAATTGGTGGGCGATAGAGATATTTCAGACCACATGCCTGTGTGGTTGAATTCGAATTTTGTGAACTGGGGGCCAAAACCTTTTAGGTCCTTCAATTTTTGGTTCTCTCATAAGGATTTCATCCCGTTTGTTAAGCAGTCATGGAGTTCCTACCATGTATCAGGTTCTTACTGTAACATTTTGATAAAAAATTATATGCCTTAAAAAGTGACATTCGGATCTAGAACCGTAATGTTTTCGGCTGGCTAGACTTAAAGTTAGAAGAGACTGTTTCTAACCTTAATTCGTTAGAGCTGGACAGCGACTTGATCTCTATCTCCAACAACGAAGAGTTGAACAAGGATAGATTGAGAAATCAGGAGGAGATGTGGAAGAATCTCAGGTTAAAAGAAAACATGTTGGCTCAAAAATCCCGTTTAAAGTGGCTTCAAGATGGGGATCAAAACTCCAAGTTTTTCCATGATTCGTTAAAAACTAGATACCGTTCGAACTGTATATTAGCTATTAGAGTGAGAGAAGGGATAGAGGAAGATCCTGAAGCCATTAAATGCGAAGCAGTGAAGTACTTTAAGGAGAGATACAAGACTAATTCATCGCCAAAGTTTACAATCGACTTCGATCATATTGTTTGCTTAGATGAGGAAGACAGGATATGGCTGGAAGCTGATTTTTGCCCTGCAGAAGTCAGATCTGCTGTTTTCAGTTGTGACGGTAATAAATGCCCTGGTACCGATGGTTTCAATTTCAAATTCATTAAGTCTTGCTGGGAGATTCTGGGCGACGATTTCTCAAATTGCATTTTGGAATTCTTCAAAACTGGTTACCTTCCGAAATCCTTCGCTTCTTATTTCATCTCACTTGTCCCGAAGACTAAAAATCCCCAACAATTCGAAGGCTCAAGAAGGTTATTCATAAAATTATCTCTCCTTCTCAAACTGCTTTTATCTCGGATCGGCAGATTTACGACGGTGTATTGTTGGCTAACGAGGTGGCTGATTTTGCAAAGAGATTCAATAAGGAATGCTTTTTATTCAAAGTAGATTTTGCTAAAGCTTATGATTGTGGGGATTGACTTTATCTAGATGCTTTGCTCGTAAAGATGGGGTTTGGAACAAAGTGGATGAAATGGATCCGTGGTTCTGTTTTCAATAGCTTCGTCTCCATTCTCATCAATGGCAGTCCGTCGAAGGACTTTAGGGCTGACAGAGGGTTGAAACAGGGCAACCCTCTTACTCCTTTCCTGTTCACTATAGCTGCATAAGGGTTGTCTAGCTTGGTGAAATCAGCGGTTGCCGGTAATATGCTTTCCCAATTCATGATTCATGGTCAACCCACAGTGAGTATTCTCCAATTTGCTGATGATACTCTACTCATTGGAGACGTGTCGGCGTCAAATATTTGGGCATTCAAGGCTACTCTCAGGGCCCTCGAGTTAATTTCAGGTCTCAAAACTAATTATTCTAAAAGTTGTTTGTATGGGATTCATATTGAACCTGAATTTTTAGTGGCTGCTGAAGATTTTCTTCATTGTAAATCGGGAAAGTTGCCTTTTAGCTTCCTTGGTATCACTGTTGGAGGTAACCATCGTCGATACTCTTTCTGGAAACCGGTTCTGCTGTGTCTGAAGAATAAATTATCCATCTAGAATGGGAGAAACTTATCTATGGGGGGTAGAGTTACCCTCATTAATTCGGTTCTTGCAAATCTGTCTATCCATTATCTGGATTTCTTCAAGGCTCCTCAAAAGATCGTGAAGGATTTAATAGCGATCCAACGGCGGCTCTTTTGGGCTGGGAACTCGAGCAATTATTTTATCCCTTGGGTTTCTTGGAATTATGTTTGTAAATCTAAGGAAGATGGTGGTCTGGGTATTAAGCATGTGGGTCGGTTCAACAGTGCCTTGTCGGCAAAGTGGCTCTGGAGGTTCCAAACTGGCGGCAATGAAATATAGAGGAACACCCTCACTATCAAATACGATAACCTTAGCATTAAGACGCAAACTTACTCCGACGTTGATAGTTCGAAATCCGATTCGTTGTGGATGAAGGATATTATGACCAATGCGTCACTAAATTTTCATACCAACTTCTGCAAGTTCACGGTCTGCTTCATTGGTGAAGGTAACGATGCGGCATTTTGGCAGTCAGTTTGGATCGGCGACATGCCGTTAAAAGTCAGATTTAATGGCTTGTTTCAATGTTGCTCTTTGAAGTCAGTGTCAGTCCGTGATATGGGATATTGGGAGGATGGGCAGTGGAATTGGAATCTGAGAAATTCGTTGTTGGATTCAGACAATCCTCTTGAACCAGATTGGTCTGACTGCTGTAAGTTGCTGGATAATATCTCAGTTATCCCTGGTGAATCCGACAAATGGCGGTGGAGTCTTCATGAATCTCTAATTTTCAAGGTTAGTTCTTTTTATCCAGTCCTATATTCCTCCTTATCTGAACAAGACATTGGTTCAGATTGTGCATCCCATATTGAGTCCATCTGAAAGACGGTTATTCCGGCGAAAGTGCAAACGCTCAGTTGGAGATTGGCGCTTGATAGATTGCCTACGAGATCTAGTTTATTGAAGAGAAGGGTGCTTGATTCTGAGCAAGATTTGGATTGTGTATTTGTCCTAGTAGCCTGGAGGACGTATCCCATCTTTTCTTCTCGTGCTATAAATCTACTCTGGTTTGGAACAAGATCTGTGAATGGGCGGATATAGACATAATATCGAAAAATTGTTGTTATTCTCACGCTAAGGTGTGGAACACAGGCTTTAGAGGACAGTGTCAAGCGAATAGAGTAAATTCGATTTGGTTTATTACTTGCTGGAATATCTGGAGGTCTAGAAATGATTGTATTTTTAATAATGTAGTTACTGAGATCGACAGTGTTGTTTTCGACATAAAACTCAATTCTTGGAATTGGTTGATCCTAGGTAGGAAGGGGAGCAAGCCGTGTTGCTTGTACGATTGGTTCAAATTCCCTTTTTGACTTCTTGTAATTTGTATCTTGGTTTGAGATTTCCTTAATCTCCTTTTTTAATATTATCTGCTTATCTAAAAAAAACATGTGGTGGTCTGTGAGCCCTTGACCATCATTAGAGTTGTTTGAAGTTTTTGGAGGTTCTGTTTAGTTTTATTTAATTATAGTTTGTTTTACATGCACTCAAAAGATGTCCTAACTATCACTTAATCCAATTATGTACCTTCTAAATTAAGTACTAACCATTCAATTTAGAATGAGGCCTGTCATATAGTAGAATAATTGATATTGTTACTGCCACTGTTATTCTGCATTTTCTTGTGAAGATATGTAGTAAAAAACAAAACTATGACAAACTTAACTTTCACCTTTTGTCCTAGGGAAAATAACTGTGCTATGCTCTTGCTGGGAATCATGAGTTACTATATATTCGTGCTTTTAAAATTTCTAGGATACAAAGTCCTTTTTTTCAATAGGAAACAACTTTACTCATATAATATATTTCATAAGTTTTTAAGTGCAATTAACTAAAATCACAGAGATGATGTTCGAGCAATTGAATTAATTATCATTGAATTCTAACTCTGTCAATCTAATGGTCACCTTTTCACAACTTTACAATTTTATAAGATGCCTATTGTACAAAAACATATATCTACTAAGCTATGTCAGTCTATTTTGGTGTTATTTTTCATAGCCCATTCAAGCCACACCTTATATTTTGGAATACATCTTCTGTGCATGGAATGGTGAGGCCACCCATCGGATGATCGTATCCAAACTCTTCCTCGGCTTGACTCAACAACTCTTGAAACAACGGTTGAGTCAAGTAAGATATTGGAATCAAAAATTGCTTTTGTTTCTCTCCGACATATACAGCAACATATCCTCTTTGCATGCCCATAGCTTTTGAAGGGGATGCTCTTTTGATCATACTAGGAAAACGAAAACCCATTGTTGTATGTGTTTAAACTTGAAAAGGAGTTGTATTAAAAAAGACTTGTAAGCAAGGGAAAGTTTTTGATATTCTAATGCTATAGGATGTGAATGATTTGTGTTGGTTGTAAATGCTTGTAGCAATGAATATATATAGAGAAATGAATATTAAAAAACGATTAGCTACATGAATGATTGGTGAAGACTATAGTATAAGATTTAGGAGGATGAGATGAAAGAGTATACAAGAAGACAAGAGCATAGATAAGATCACATGGTATTGTCTTAGAGGTCTTTCCAAATCCTCAAATAATATAATAGACAATACACAAACATAATGACTCATGATCTTGTGTCCAATATTGGTTCTCTACTTGCCGCCAAACACTGGTTCTGAGCAGATATCACCCAGGTCCTACACAAATAGCACATAAATCTGTTAAATATATAGCTGGTAAATGTATATTAGTTGATTTGTCAATTTGAAGAAGCATGTGAGATGTCTAAACCATGTCTACCATTGAAAATTTGAAATAGCTATAACAGAATTCAACAACAGACATAAGGTTTCATTCACCATTGTATTGTCTTAAATTTCCTAATCCCTGAAAATGACCTCTGTTAGACAATACCATGTGATCCCTTCTCCCTCAATAGGCCCTATTACAATTATATATACACTACTCCTTGGTTTCACAAGCAACACAAGTCTTTTACATCCTAAAACATCACAACTCAATATCTATTTCCCATCCAATCCGTTAACATAAAAAAAAAACAATGAGTTTCCGCATAACAAGTATTATCAAAAGGGCATCATTTTCCACAACCCAAGGATCTACCAAGGAATTTGAAGTCCCTAAAGGTAATCTCGCCGTCTATGTTGGAGATAAAATGAGGCGGTTCGTGATTCCAGTTTCATACTTGAATCAACCATTGTTTCAAGAATTATTAAATAAAGCAGAAGAAGAATTTGGATATGATCATCCCACGGGTGGGCTCACAATTCCATGCGGTGAAGATGAATTCCTAAACCTCACTTCTCGCTTAAATTAATTGTTAACTGTAAATCAATCTAATGGAGTTTTAGATAGATTAGTTTAGGCTAATTATGCAGCCGTTTTTATCTTGACTGTAAAGGAAAGGCTGCAATAAATTTATGAATCTCTATAAAGTATCTGTAATAATTATGCATCATTCATTTAAAGTATAAATCATTATCTTTAATAAACTAAAATAATCGGATCATGACGGTCAAAAGTTATCTAGTTCAAATAAATTTAAGAGATACAGTAATTTGTTCTTCATGTCGCTTCAAAGACACTCTTGTCATCACATATTAACTAAAACATATACAACATAATATGGATAATAAAATTCAACAAAAATATAATCTTAATTGAATTCATTGTAAGTTCACACAACTCACAAAGTTTAACTCTAAATAGTCAACCACTTTAAAGTGATCGGATCTTCCTTAGGTGAGTATGTAAACTTTGATGTCTTGTAACTACTTGACAACCTTCTTTGCAGTTTTTCATTGATTGTGTGAGCGAGACTGGATCATTATCAATACTCAAATGACATTCATGCTCAAATGAATAAATAATATAATATATCAAAATAGTTGATAAGTGTACAATAAAACTAACTTAGCCTCAAATTACTAACTAAATCCTTATAATTTTTGTTTATAATAAGTTATTGTTCTTGAACGAATTAATTCACTAATGTTACAAAAGTATGTGTATGAACATAAAATAATCATAAAACATATATTTGCCAACGTAAGTGTATAATATAATAAAAGTACTACATCCGTTCCATTTTATAAGAGGCAACTTACATTTTAAATTTATTGAATAATCAATGTATCAAAGCTAAAAAGTAACCAAATACATTGATCATTCAATAAACTTAAAAAATGAATTGTCTCTTATAAAAAGGAACAGAGGTTGTACTATTTATATATTTCATAAATCACACCTAAAAAAACATTGGTCATGTTTAGTTAAACAAAAGAAATAGATCATGAGCATTATAGTATTAATGGTAGCTTATTCGTGTCCAATTTGTCAAAATAGTGCTTTATATCATGAATTTGTAGATATGGAAAAGCATAATCTCGCTTTCAGATGAAGGTATATTTGTCTAATAAAATATTTTATGATTGAGAGATGATCCTCAAATGGACTCGACATGTCAATAAGGCGCACAAGATTGATTATGTAGCAAATTTATTAGACAGATTCAATGATTTATGACGATAAAAAAACAACAATCTATCACACACATGGACAACAAGTCGCCGACCAATAGGCGAGATATGTGGAATCTTATTTTGCAGGTGATATACTTTTAACAAGGACATCAACTTTTGATGATGGCAACTAATGATAAATCAAATATGAACGGTTAAACAGATAAAGATGTAAACATATCTTTTGGGTTTGATAAACATGACTATCCAAAGATGACAAACAAAGATTACAACTACAGTCTTAGCTCAAATACTCAAGCATATGTCAACATGAAGAGCAATATACGACAAAGTCTTTAAACAATGTGGTGATCTCCTAACCTAGTAATGGTGATCTCTTATTTTAGTAATGAGTGGAAATTGTAAGGCAAAATGATTTTATCATAAAGATATATGGCTAAATCACAAAACCAGTAAACTATTTTGAAAAATGCTCTACAAAAAGATAATATTTTGAAAAACATCTAGAAATTGTGACGGCTGAACTATAAGCAATCAAAATAGCTATAGGCGGATTTTTGACTTTTATAATCAATTAGAGTTGTCCAATTGGTTAGAAATGTGCGAGATTAAGGCTCAAGCTATTTTGAAAGTGCCTTGATTCTATGCAATTGCTAGATATCTTAAACTTACTTTTTGAGAACTTATAAACGGTTATTTTTCATCTTCTAATCGATTAGGAATAGGTGTTAATCGATTAGATTGTTACAAAATGCTTTTATTGAAATTTTCTTTTTGAGTCAACCTCAGGCCTATAAATAGATGTTTGATTTCTCATCTCATTTCATCAAGAAACGTGTTTTGACACTTTCATCTCTCTCTCTCTCTCTAAACATTTATTTAACTTTCTCTCACTATATTTTTAGCCCAAGTGCTTTTGTGAAAAAAACCCTTTTGTGAGTGAGATTATTTTTATAGTTCTAGAAAGAGTAGAATTGTAATATTTACCAAGGGAATCTTTTGTATACACCTTGGTTGAATACTGTCCAATTAGGAATTTATTTGGGTTAAGAGCTAAATCGGTAAGAAGCTTTTTTGGGATTGTGTGATTCAGTCCTAGTTTAGGTTAGAGATCAGCCTGTGCTAAAATCTCAAAGGTTCTTAGTCAGTGCGGTGTTTAAAACAATATAGGTTGAAGCTTAACATGGTATTGAAAGCTTCATAGGTTCGTGTTTGTGGAGAGAAGACTAAGGTTTTGAGCTCATATCTTCCGGTGTTAAAATCTTGCAGGTTTTGGGTTATCCCATGTAAAACCAAGGTTTTATGCTCAAAAGTTTTGGAACTTGAAGAGTAAACACTCTTAGGTTTGTGTTTATAGAAAGAAGACTAACCGCTTTAATCCATCGTTTGGGAAGGAAGATTAGCCACTTCAATCTCGATACTACTATGAAGAAAAGACACAAATGCCCATGTCTATCGTCTTGTATTTCTTGGTTCAAGATCAAAAACTATTCCTTGTATATAGGGGTTCGTGAGTCTTTTCTACTAAAATCTCAACGTTTATTGGAAACTCTCAAGATCAATAATTGAGGATAGGAGTAATAATTTTTTACTAAGCCTGTATAATTCTTGGTGTTCCCATTTTTCCATTTACACATTTTTTTCAGCAATTTATTTTCTGCATTTTACTTTTCGCTGTTAAGTTTTCAAAATATTTTAAGACTATGATTTATTTCTCTAAGTTTTTCAAAACCACATTTTTTTTCAAACAAAATAATTCACCCCCCCCCCCCTCTCTCTCTCTCTCTTATGTGTTAAGTATCATGTCCAACAAGTGGCATCATAACCTAACTCCTATTTAAGGACTAATTATCTCAAGAGGAAGCTGACTTCCGATACAAGATCTTTTCTAAATACACCACCACTTTTTGAAAACAACAGTTTTAATATTTGGCAAGCTAGATTCAAAAAATTTCTTCAGAGTTTAAATTGTGATTTATGGGGAACATTAGTCAAAGGTCCATTTTACCCCACACCAAGGAAAATGATGAAGTGGTGGAAAAACCCTATTCCCTTTAGACCGAAGAGGATAAGAGAAAATTAGATATAGCTCTTAAAAGCAAGAACCTGATTAAAATATCTCTATATGATATTATACTTTATGATATTCGTCATTGTAAAACAACCAAGAAAATGTGGGATGCTTTTGGAAAGATATATGAAGTTTCTCCAAGTATCAAACAAGAAAATATGAACACCCGAGGCAAAGAAGATACTGACACCGGTCTTAGATGTTTTTCTAAACTTAAAAAATATTGGAAATTTTGCTGAAAACTAAGTTACTAACAAATATCTTAGAATTAAGAATTGGAAGTTTAATCCAACTTTTAAATCAATAGATGAGAGTCTTCATGAATTTCAGGAAAAATCAAGAAAGAAGTAAGTTGTAGAGAATATGAACGAACCAGTTCAACTACTCAAAGATGAGGGAATTCAAACTGAAGAGTCGTCATCCTCATCTTACTCCTATCATACAACTCATGTACAATCCTTCGAAAGGACACACTAGCAGTTGAACGATCTTTAAAATTTTTCAACATCAAATGAAGGTTCCTCTTGTTCAAAGAACAAGAAAGAATATGAAGAAAATTCTTTAATACTAGAACAAAGAAGAGGAGGAGAAACATCAACCTTGAGGATAAAACTAAAAGAATCCTCTTCCAACAAAGACGATGAAATATACTTAAAGGCATCCCACAAGGGAGACAATATTCTAGGTATCAAACCTTCTTATGCTCAAATGTTTAAGATGAGTGGAC